CAGGCTCCACTTGGCTTATATCGAAATCCTCTGACATTTTTCTTCACAAATCCTCGTTTTGTGCTTCTAATTCGTGACTGCCATTTTTTTTTTGTTCTCTCTCCGTCGCGCTTCTGCATTTGTCACTAATCACCGTCCTACGTCATCTGCCTGGAACGGCTTCCGCCTACGACAGTTAGCAGAAGTGAGAAAAAGGTGTTTATATAATTTTAAATATGGATATTTGTCTTAAAAAATACATCGATTCGCTTCAGGATGCCTTTATTCACCCCCCAGAGCCGTGTGATGCGCGTTTTAATATGGAGGCGTGCACTTTATTTGACTACTTTTGGACTGTTGAACAAAAACACCCGCCCATGCCATTATAAAGCTTAAAAGAGCCAGGACAATTTTCAATATAACTCCGATTGGATTCATCTGAAAGAAAAAAGTCATATATACCTAGGATGCCTTGAGGTTGAGTAAAACATGGACTGATTTTCATTTTTGGGTGAACTAACCCTTTAATGAAGTGTTATGTTTTTAAGTGGACCGTCAAGAGTTTGTTTTTGGTTGCAGTATTTGTGGTTGTTTTCACACTTGGATGATTCTGTTGTGTGGTTTGCCCGTGGGCCGGAATATTTGCATTATTAATGCAAGTACCACACAAGCACTAATCATCCATTCAGTCCCATTCTTAGTTTTTCCACCAACCAATCAAACAAACCCATTTCTGATGACAAGTGGACTTGTCTACACCAAAACAACCTTGAAAATCATGGATTTTTTTGATTGATTACACATCTGTTATATTAACTAGATCAGTTGATTGTGATTGAGATTCTTTGTAGACTCTTCATCTTTTTGGATGTTTGAATGAGATTGAGAGATGTCATTGTTCTAGGCAATTTGTGTGGGTTCGGAGAATCTCCAGGTGATGTATCCCGCCATCTTTGAGCAGCTTCTGCTGTTCGTGGAGTTCTCCTGTAAACCTCCTCAGTATGGAAAGATGGAGACCAAACTTGTGGCCAATGCCAAATACAACCAGGTGAGTCTCTGTCCTGTTTCCACCTCACATGGTCTTCACTTTTTCATCCGTTTTCAAGATGGTGGATTTGCTTTTGCTCTGTTTGTCTTGATCATTGTTGTTTTATGACTCACCATACATACACTTATCATCATCATCATCATAAAACATTCATTTATGTGTCCGTTTCCAAATGTGATGATCTATCTGCTTTTTTGAAGTCTATGCTCTTTTACTGTGTTTACAGTTGCCTTTTTTCCTCAGTTTTTTATGTGGTTCTAAGACCATTTAATATATATTTTGGGACAGTAGATAGTTTCAGTGGCTTTGTTTAGAAAATATTTGATTTAGTTTTCTTCGCATGGTGTTTTTATGTTCTTTCAGTTGCATTGTGCCTCTTTTAGTCACGTTTGAGTACTTTGGGCCATGTCGTTACTTTTCAAATTTGATCATTTATTTAAAGTTTGGATCAAGTTTGTGTCAAATTGGAGTTTGGATAAAGATGTGGATCAGTTTACAAGTTATAATTCTAAACTGGTAGAAATGTGCGATATTGAAATGTTAACCCATCCTTTAGGTTAGGTGCAAAGTATGTTTAAACATGACTTTCAAACCAAACGTTTGTTCGTCTTTGTTGTTGTCATCGTTTAAAGTAGTTTCATTAGTGTGTTGTGCGGTCGTGATCAGCAGTGGTAGTAAACATTTGTCTGCTCTTCTCTTGTTCTGTTTTTGTACTTCATATGGATCCACTTTAGATCCAACTGTTTGCACCGGTGAGTTCTTCCTCCCTCCCGCTGTCTTCCTCTATATCTCTGTCTCTCGTTTGCTTTCTGCCTCGTTTTCTCTTCGTTTTTCCCCTCGGCTAATTTCAGCTCCATTTAACTGCTCTATTAGACAAACTTCGCTCTTCGTACTGTTATAACATTTGGTTTTTTTCCATTCATTTCCATCAGCCACATTTGTTCATTAATTCTAACAACTGCCAAAATAAACTTCAACAAATTAATAGTTATTTTATGGCGTTTCTTAGAACCGTGTGGTGAAAAGTTTTAAAATTTGACACACTCATAGTGTAGAGTCTCAACTTCTTTCATGCCAATTTTTCAAACTCTCTAACGCCACCAACAGTTATTTTTTTGTATACTTTTTAACTTTTGAATTGTATGGTCAATAAACATTTGTTTTTGAATAGCATACTACCATACTACTCTTACTTACAGTATGTATACTGTGCATAGTACGCCAATTTTCTGTATAGATAGCATATTTCAGTGACCCACTACATTTATCAAAATGTACAGTAAAAAAAACCTACATTAAAAAAGTATCCCACAATGCAATGTGCTTGACCTGTCCTTCCATTTCCAATGTAATGTGTAAAAAGTAGTATGACATGACTTTTTGTGGTTTGGTGACAGCTGTTCAAAATGCATATATCATCCAAAAAATGTAATGAAACAATTTAGTGTACAACATTTTATTTAAAAAAAATTTTTTAAGTACTTTTTTTTGTTTTTGTCACCAACATTTTTACAATTGCCTTTGGTGCCACTTTACCTTTAAATGATGCTGAATCTAAAGCCTTTGAACTACTTTTGCTCAAATTAGCATCAGGGCTGATATAAACAAATCTGCTTGGCCTGTATTTGCTGCTTTTCATCTAATATTATGGTCCGTGTCAGAGTAACGTAGAACTAGTTATTGAAATTTGACACAAATGTTACTAGTGTTGAAGTGGAAATCTGTAGGGACTGTTTTTCCAGGCATCTGCTGCATTTAAGTCCAGTCATGTAGCTCATTTTACAGATAGTAGGGATAATGTGATAAAAATATGATTTTTATTTTAAATTTTTTTGTTTGAACTAAGAGCCGATGTGGAGACCGGCCGCGGAGATTTAGTGTTTGTGTGTTGATTATTCACAGTCCTTCTCTGATACTCTGGCATTTGTCTTTGCGGCTGAGGAGACATTTGTTCGTTTAATAATACATTATTTTTTTATATTCACTGTCTTTATTTTGTTTTTCTTTTCTGTCTATGTCCAGGCGGAGTGGGTGGCCTTAAACTACGTGCCGTTTGCGGAGCGATCTTTGGAGGTGGTGGTTGATCTATATCATAAAACGGCCTGTCACAAAGCCGTTATCAACGAGAAAGTCCTACAAAACATCATCAAGGTACAAAACGGAAATCATCAGTTTTAAATGTATATAAAACTGACCTCAACAAACATAACTGATTTTTGGTATGTTGTGAAAAGTGCTGGGTAGTAACTGATTACATGTAATCTGGATTACGTAATCAGATTCCAAAAATTAAGTACTTAAAATGCTCATAATCAGATTACAGTTACTTTTTTATGGATAACATGAATACATATCATTCACGCAAAGGCAGTAAATCATTCATAATTGATTCATTCACCCCAGTTCTTTTATTTATTTATTTATTTATTTATTTTTTCAACCTACCACTTATATATACATGAGACTAATAATTATGCAAGTTGGTTACTATATGCTGCCGATGCATAACTATGAAATATTATGTCTTCATCATATCCAGTGACGTTCACTATTTATTAATACTGGAGGTCTGGACCAAAATATATCAAACCTGGAAGACTTTGACCATGTAATGCGATGTTTTCATGCTTATCCATGTTACCCCAGTTCTTTTTTTTTTTTAACCTACCATTTATATATACATGAGACTAATAATTATGCAAGTTGGTTACTATATGCTGCCGATGCATAACTATGAAATACTATGTCTTCATCATATCCAGTGACGTTCACTATTTATTAATACTGGAGGTCTGGACCAAAATATATCAAACCTGGAAGACTTTGACCATGTAATGCGATGTTTTCATGCTTATCCATGTTTTTTAATGTAATTTAGGGATTCCCAAGGTTTTGTCATTTTTATGATTACATTAATTTTTAGCTTTCCGTGAAAACCCTACAGTTTTTTTTTTCATGAACCACAGTTTGAGAAACCCTGCTGTACTGTAATGTTTAATGCATTTCATGATATTGATAACAGAGAATGAAATGTATTGTCTTTCTTTCTCTTTTTTTTTTATCGATGTGGAACAGTAATCATATTCACGTCTATATCATAAACGAGTTAGGTAAAAAGTCATCAAAAAGTAGTCAGACTACATTACCTAATATGTGTAATCCAGATTGTGTTACTAACTACAATCAGTGTTGCCAAGTCCGCGGTTTTCCGGAACGCGATTTTTACTAGGGAACCCCCCTCGAAACGCGATTGGGCTAGTTTTGAGTAGCATTTGTGCGAGTTTTGTTGTGAAAACCTGGCAACCCTGACTACAATTTTTGTCATGTAATTTGTAATCAGTAACAGACCACAAATTTTAAGTTGTCTACCCAGCACTGGTTGTGAATTAGTAGTTTTGTTAGACATGATGCGTTCTCAACAGCATTTCCGGGCATCTTAAGACTCCTTTCAGTCGAAGCAACAGGCTGATCTGTGCGGGTTTAAAAGCAGAAGCTTGTGCGCACTAGGGGTTGCACCGACTAGTCGACTTCAATGCTCTGCCATGACGCTTTAAGCTTGACGTCGACTAGTCGCTGGTCCTATAGAGGGCGCAACAGGATAAGAAATCTTTGAAGGACTTCCACATTTACGCTCTGTTTCCAAACAGTTAAAATGACAAATAAATGCATACTCTGAAAGCGCTCCACAAGACGTGTGATTATATTACTAGATGCTCGAAATTGAACGGGAGAATGCACGTTTTAAACAGCTTATTGTACAGGTAAATTAATCTTTCATAACATAAAAGTCGACTTTAAAAAATCAGAGGTCGTTCAACCCCTAGTGCGCACTGAGCAGAATCAATCCTCTCTGTTTCTCTGTATTTAGACTCTGAGGATTCCTCTGGGTCTGAAGTACGCCTGTCCTGCTGAGAGCACCTGGAATCTGGCCGTCTCCTCTCTGCTCAAAGTGCTTTCCATTGGACTCCCTGTTGCCCGGCAACAAGCATCCTCAGGCAAATTTGACACGATGTGGCCAGAGCTGGCGAACGCCTTTGAAGACTTCCTGTTTACCAAAAGGTGTCCAGCCTATCATGATATATTAAAAGAAATCAGTGATTTCAGATCCATTCTTACTCATTTTCCTCTCGTATCCCACAGCACACCTCCAGATAATCTGTCCATACAAGAGTTCCAGAGGAATGAAGCTGTAGATGTCGAGGTCATTTCATCTGACAGTAGATCCACACAGCCAAATTTGAAACGAACATATAATTCCAGAGTTGGAATTCCAAAAGGATTCTTTTAATAAACTCTATTTAAGCTAGATTTATTATTATTATTATTATTATGACTAATATCTATTAGTGGCAGGCCAATATATCTGTGAGACTGATATTTGGAGATTTTATGATGAGACATTTCGATAATGATACATTTAAAATAAAAATAAAAAATGTGTGTATGTGTATATATACACATAAAACAATTAAAAAATATAAATAGATATTTTTAGAAAATGAAAACATTTTATTTAACTATATTGTATACATAATTTATTATATTAAATATATTTAATATATAATATATTTATACAAAAAACTACTACTGTAACTATTTGTTATGTATAATAATAATAATATATTATTTATATTATATTAATAATATGTGTATATTTGATTTTACTATATTTATATTGAATATATAAAATATATTTTAAATATATATATTGTTTTTTCCCCTTTTAGGTGGTGCAGTTGATCAGCACAGAGATTTTACCATTTGCCAATTTCATACCCAAAGAGTTCGTAGGTCGTATCATGAGCATGCTCAATAAAGGATCGATTCACTCCCAGTCATCAACGTTCACAGGTATGGAGTGAAAACAAAAGGAAAAAACAACCATTTTCATCTGATTCACAATGTGAAAACTGCTCCTAAAGCAATAGTCGACTCAAAAAATTAAGATTTTGTCATGTACACACTCAAAAGATGATGTTAGACCAAATGTGACCCTGCAGCACAAAAGCAGTCTTAAGTCGCTGGGGTATATTTGTAGCAATAGCCAACAATACATTGTATGGGTCAAAATTATAGATTTTTATTTTATGCCAAAAATCATTAGGATATTAAGTAAAGATCATGTTCCATGAATATATTTTGTAAATTTCCTACTGTAAATATATGAAAACTTCATTTTTGATTAGTAATATGCATTGCTAAGAACTTCATTTGGACAACTTTAAAGATGATTTTCTCAATATTTTGATTTTCAAATAGTTGTATCCTATCCTAACAAACCATACATCAATGGAAAGCTTATTAATTCAGCTTTGAGATGGTCTATAAATCTCTATTTCAAAAAATTGACCCTTATGACTGGTTCTGTGGTCCCGGGTCACATATTAACAATATTAAACATGAAAACTTCATTTTTGATTAGTAATATGCATTGCTAAGAACTTCATTTGGACAACTTTAAAGATGATTTTCTCAATATTTTGATTTTCAAATAGTTGTATCCTATCCTAACAAACCATACATCAATGGAAAGCTTATTAATTCAGCTTTCAGATGATGTATAAATCTCAATTTCAAAAAATTGACCCGTATGACTGGTTTTGTGGTCCTGGGTCACAAAAGTTCTTGCATAAAAGTATCATTAAAGCGATCCATTAGACTTGTGCGATATATGCTCCATTACTTCTGAAGTCACATGAAAGCTTTCAGTGAGGAACAGAACAAGATTAACAGTATTAAATAGAGAATACCTCTGGTACTGTAGTATGAAGACACTAACGGTCCCCTCTCGTCCCGTGCAGAGGCTGAAATGGACATGCGTATGCGGGAGGAGTTCTCGAAGGTGTGCTTTGAGACGCTCCTGCAGTTCTCCTTCAGTAATAAGGTGTCGACGCCGCAGGAGGGCTACATCTCTCGTATGGCGCTGTCAGTGCTGCTGCAGAGGGCGCAGGACGTGCTCCGACGATACGTGGAGGACGAGAGACTCGGTGGACGCTGCCCGCTGCCCAGGTCTGCTCACCTCAACAGACTCATATTTTTCAGCTCCCCGAAAATGAAATAAAATTCGAAATTATTTTTGCATAAAGTACTTTTTTTTTTTTTTTCGACTCTTTATTTCTACCTTTTTCAGAATATTTACAATTTGCATTAAGGAAGTTTTGTGATTTAATGCAAGATTCCCTGTTCATTAGGGCCAAATGACATTGTTTGATTAAAACATGCATTTTCTCTAAAGCTGCTTTGAAATAAACTGTATTGTGAAAAGCACTTTAAAAATAAATGTGAATTGGAATTGAACTGAATAAAGAAAGAGAATAATTTAAATACTAATTTAAAAATGTATATACATTTTTGCAATAATTTGAGGAGGAAATGTGTTTAAGTGTCATGTTTTTTAAGTGTATAATTAAATATAATTAATATTTCTAATGATGCAAAATATATATTTTGGGGAGGGGGGGGGTGGATATGAGTTGGGACATATTCACCAAATTCACTTTCACTCTGTTGCTGGTTGCTAAACAGACTTCTTGCAAAAATGATATAGATTTATTAATTGCAGTATTAATAAAGATCTAAAGATAAACTTCAATATTTGTTTTTTTTTTTGCAAAATATAATTTCTTCTTTTTTTAATTTGGATATTGGGATGAAATATGAGCTGGACATATTCACTGAATTCGCTTTCACTGTATTTTATGTCCGTTTCTAAGTGGACTTTACTAACTAAACTGCACAGAACTTGATTCGAAGTGTTTCTCACCATTTCTTTTTTATCTTCAAGGCAACAAGTGACTGAGATCATCTTTGTGTTAAAAGCCATCAGCACTCTCATGGATTCCTTGAAAAAGACTCAACCAGAGAACGGTGAGACGGGTTTGTCCTTCAACATTTTGATGATTTGAAAGCAGCCATGACAAACTCCTAAATGTGAAAACGTATTGCTGGAACGGCTAAATATTCTATTGCCTACCTAGATAGCATTTTGAAGCCTCATAGGCAGGTTCCAGGTTTTGCATCCTTGTTTTTGCTCATTTCTCTCTTCTTCCTCTTCCTGTCCGGGTGTCAGTGGACGGGAACGTGTGGGCTCAGGTGATCGCGCTGTACCCGACGCTGGTGGAGTGCATCACCTGCTCGTCTCCTGAAGTAAGCTCCGCCCTCAAAGAAGCCCTGGGGCCCTTCAAAGACTTCATGCAACCGCCCGTCTCCAAAGTGCAGAACGGCGAATCGTGACTGAACGTTTTTATTCCACCGCAAACATGAATGTGACTGTTTCATACGCCGCGCGTGAGGACGATTCACCCCCATCGTCATGGTAACTGTTGATTGACAGCTCCAAATCCCATCGTTCAAAGCTTCTTCTAATACGAGCTGACGGTAGACTCTGATTGGCCGACTTTAACGATGTATTAACTGCTACGTTAAATTTGCAGTGTTTGTTGTTTTTATGGGTTTTTGGTCCCCTCCCCCCCCCGCCCCCTGGAGTTAATGTACAGTGTTTGGTGATAGTGTTAAAGATGTAATTAAGAATTACGTATTTGGATTGAAAATCAAATCCAAAAATCATTTAAAAAGAAAGAACGAAAAATCATAATAAATACATGAAGGATGGTCTTTTTTTGTGAAATTTTCTCAACAGCAATGGGATTTATGCAAGATCTTACTGTAACATTCCATGTCATCTGTAGTCGCATTGAGAAGGGTCGAACCCAGTGTGTGTACAATAATAAATGGTACAGTTCTATGAACATCAAATGTATCGCTCATCTGGTTATTCATGAAACATACTGCACTTCCAGTAGCGCAGGTCAGTAGTTCATGTAGATTCAAAAATGACTTTTTATGAAAAACATTTCAGCCTCTTTTGAATGTACATGAAGCATTAAATAAGTTTTAATATACAGTTAGGCAATAATTATCGCAGGATAACTGCAACCTGACATGGTGACAATTTTATTGAGTGTGTGTTTATATATATATATGTGCACACACACATATTTTGGATTCTCATTCTTTTGAACTGTCTCGTTGGTTTCAGTTAAATTCTACTGCTACGCCAGCGTTTTCATGTTATTGGACACAGCCATTTCGCCAAGGAACGCTGTATTGACCAATCAGCATCCAGGACGAAAACTATCCGTTTTATGTAGTATTTGTATTGAGTTTTGATTTTATCATCAAAAATAAGCTTGTATAAAACACGTAATTTGCAACTTGACGCAATATCTAAGAATAGGGTGACCAGACGTCCCCGTTTCTGGGGACAGTCACGGTTTTTGGTGCCCGGTCCCCGGAAATGTCCCTATTTTATAGCACCTTCAAAACAACCCACAAATACACTGCAAAAGCCCGACCAATTTAGCCTGCTGACAATCGTATAAATGTGATTCTTCACCAGTAGAGGGCGCTTCGAGCTATACCGATTATTTCTTGGTTGCGCCGCTACATGACGAGCTTGGGCGAGAGCAGAGCGCTATTATCAGTTATCAAAAGAGACCAAAATTGGTTTCAAGGTAGTCACATACTAATATACATGTTAAAACAAAGTAATACTGTTTGTGTGCACTGTATAACAATGAGGTTACGGGAATGTTTTGCACACAATATTAACCATTCCTGAAACTTCTGCCGTCACAACTCCGATATGAATAATATAGCCTAAAAAAACAATAAACTAATCAATTACACTTGCTCAATTACATTAGCAGAAAGCACATACTCAGTGGTCAAAATGAGCCTAAAATGCAAAATAATGAGCATGATTTGGGATAGAAAAGATCCGTTTCCAAAAGCATAAACATAAAATTTGAAATGTTGTAATTATTGTACTCACAGTTGTGAAAAATACAGATATAAAATAACATATTTGTTAAATAGTTTTATTTATTGTATGTTCTTATATTTATTGTTTTATTTTTAATTTGTTTTTGTAAAGCCATAATTTTGTTATAATACTACTGTTTTGATATGTTTGCTATTTGCAATAGTTACTATTTTTCATAGTGTGATTAAGATTGATCCTCAAACATCACTGTAATTATCAATTATGATATTGATACATGGAACCCACAACAATGAAAAAAAAATATATCCCTGTCTTTTGCTTCGTAGATAATCACAAGTTAGATTTCAGTGATATTTTGACCACTGACTGATCTAGGAAATGTCCCCGGTTTTAATATCAGAAATCTGGTCACCTTATCTAAGAACGCACAGCCTGTCTCGGGAATTCTGTTGGGGTTGTAGGTCTCTACAGTAAGTGAGTGTCAGTCAAAATCAACTCATTCAAAATCACGAGCTCCAAGTCTCGTGTGAACTCAATTCAGCGACATTGGCTGAAGACTGCGGGAGGTGTGGCCTAATCAGGGGGTGTGTGTGTCGTGGGCGGTGTCCCTCTGACACCCCATTGGCTGCGCTCCCAGCCAATAGCGGAGCAGCAGAAGGGAGTGTAGCCCGCTCACGAGTACTACGACCATTCAACTCGGAGTCTTCGCGCGCTGTAGAACGTTCCGCGCGAATTCTTGGAATTCTTTTTTTCACGGATGCGAATTCGCTGCATTTTTACGAGCTCCGAATTCCATTTAGCCGTGTACTGGCTGAGGTAGTAGTTTGTGCTGTTGGTTGGGATGTGACATTGCCCGTTATGGAGATGACTGCGCAAGCTACTCCCTTGCCAGTGCTGGTTACACTCTTCCCAAGCTGGAATTCGCTTTGGAATCCACATCTTCTGGGGAAATGTGATGTTTTATGTGATATTTATGTATTACATGTGTGATAGCGTTACAGTTGTACATGTTAAAATTGTTCTGAGAGTTGTAGAGCTATGTAAATGTGTGCTCAATGGTAAGTCTAATTTAAATGCAATAAATTTGTATATTATGAAACACGTTGCTGTGTTAAGCGTCTAATTTTTGCTTTTATTAATGATGTGTTTTAATTATGTTCCTTTTTGCCACTATAACGGACACTGAATTGTAAATTCATGGGGATTGGCCATGTGCCCCAGTTTTCTTCAGTAAAGTACTGTTTTTTTTTTTTGTCGAGCACAGCAAAAAAAAAAAGCAGATATTACCATCGGGAACACGACGGGTAGGGTTATTAATTTTTAATAGATGCTTGATTTTGCCCTTGGGATGGCTAATACATGTAGGTCATACTCTACTGTTGCTATGAAGAGAGCTGTGACGTGGCTTTTTCTGCCCACTACGGTAGAATCATCGATCGTGACGTCACGTGGTAAGAAACGACGTTACCTGGACTGGTTTGGACTCAACCAGAGCACGCGCGTGGAAAATGTGTATTTTATGTACTTAAGTTAATGATTTAACCATTGTAGAAAAAGTGGAGTTAAAGGGTTAGTTCACCCAAAAATGAAAATTAGCCTGTGTTTTACTCACCCTCGAGGCATCCTAGGTGTATATGACTTTCTTCTTTAAGACGAATCCGGTCCGAGTTATATTAAAAATTGTCCTGGCTATTCCAAGCTCTATCATTGCAGTCAGCGGGTGTTGCAGTTGAACAGTCCACAAGTCGTCAAATAAAGCTTTGTACTTCTAATTGACCTGCGTTTTGTTTTGTTCTCTCTCACGCAACGCCGACGTCTTACGTCATCTACCGGAACGGAACGGCTTCCGCGTATGACCGATAACGAAAGTAAGAGAAAAGTGTTTATTACATTTGAAATATGGATATTTTTCTTACAAAAACGCATGGATTCACTACAGGAGGCATTTATTCACCCCCCGGAGCCGTGTGAGGAACATTTTATTATGGATGCGCGCGCTTTATTTGACGACTTGTGGACTGTTCAACTGCAACACCCGCTGACTGCAATGATAGAGCTTGGAATAGCCAGGACAATTTTTAATATAACT